TTCTCAGCAGCATTTGCTGAAGATGCTTCTTTTCTCCAATGTGTAATATGGCTCTGCAGTATAATTTGAAATCAGATGTGGTGATACCTCCCCCAGTGTCCTTTTTGCTGAGGCTTGCTTAGGCTATCTGGGGTCTCTTATGCCTCCATGTGCATTTTAAGACTTTACAACAGCAGGAAACACTGTGGCGGAGCAAATACTACTACAGTCATGACAGAAATATTTGCTGGGGGTGGTAGCCTGGGTTGGAGGTTGTTGTCTTTCAGAACTTGAAACACATTTGTGTAGGCCTTCCTGCCTTCTGAGAGTTCAGTTGAACAACATGGTGTTATTCTTGGTGCCTATTTTTACCTGAGACGTGGTGTCTCATTTTTTCTGCTTTCAATATCTTTTCTTTGTTCTTTATATTTAGTTTTGTAATTATTATATGATGTAATTATTATATGTCTGTTTGGAGTCCTAATTGCTTCCTGCATCTGGATTGGCATCTGTTTTCCTAGTTCTGAGAAATTTCCCATTTCCCATTATGACTATTTTTAAAATGCTTTCTTTGGCATTAGACCTGATTCCTCTTCTATGCCTATTACCTGTATATTTGGTCTTTTCAAAGTGTCATATCCATTTTTGATTCTTCGTGGTACCTTATTAGCTTATTTTTGTCCTTGTTGGATTATTCCTTGGATTATCTACCTTGTCTTCAAGCTGAGTTAGTCGATTCTTTCCTTGATCCATTCTATAGATGATACTTGCTATAGTTTTTTTATTTGATGCATTATATTCTTCATTTCCAGCATTTTAGATCGTTTTCCTCAGTATTTCTGTTTGTTGAATTCATATTTCATATTTTTCACCTTTATTTTATTTACTTGTTTGTGTTCTTATTCAGGAGCTTATTTTTCTTTACTTTTTTTCAACATATTTATAATCATTTAAGTCCTCTGTGCAAGATTTCATCTAACTCACTCTTATTAAACATCATTGATGTAGGAATAGTAATTTTTGGAGGTGTTATGTTGTCTTGGTTTCTCTTATTTCTTTGTTACTGCGTTAGGATTTACTTGTGATGTTATTTCTTTGCTAGGTTTGTTATTTTTTAGCTATATTCTTTTCATGGAAGTATTTGTAATATTCAAGTCGAACTTGGATGTGGTAAGAGTTGAGTGTGTAGTTTAGAAAATAGTTCCTCAGTCCAGGAGCTCAGGGTTACTTAGTGTAAATTTTGCATTATTCCCTGAGTAATGTGTTAACTGGGATGTCAACAATAGCTGCTTGGTGTTTTCATTATGCAGTGACTACTCTGACTTCAATAACTCTTGGAAGATAAGCAACCAAGGGTATTATAGAGTATATTTAAATTTTAGCTAAACATATGGGTGGGAGAAAAGTACAGTGGATAGGATGAGAATTAAATATTAGATCTACTTTGAAAAGAAAAAAATGAGGTGGGTAAAGTAGCTGTGAGGGAAAAGTTCAGATACTTTTGGGGTCCATAGATTCTATTTGTTTATTTAAAAAATTTATTATTTTGATTTGTGTTTGTGTGTATGCAGGTGTGTGAAGGTGTGTTCATGCACACTACGTGCACTTGTGAGTCATCTGATATGGGCTCTGGGTACTGAACCTGGTCCCCTACAAGAGCAGTTAGCACTTTTAACCAGAGCCATCTCTCTAGCTCCAGATCCATAGATTTTTAGAGATTATTAAATTTTTGGAAGGTTGCAACCAAGAAGAAAGAGGAGGCTGGGATAAGAACGAGAGAAGGCAGAAAACACATAGGGAGAAGAAGAGTAATGAGATGAAGCTGAAAAGTGTAAGAAAGTATGTCTTATGGTATCTGGGTGGAGAAACATAAACAACAGTCCTGCATTCTAACTGAGCAATATACAAGCACACTCAAAACTGTCACGAGGCATATATGCAAGAGTGGAAATTAAATATGTGTAAGTAAGAAGTAAAAAAAGAATACTTATAGAATGAGTTGCTGGCACAGCTGTGATGTGTGGAAGGTTAAAGTTCCCATATTTGTCTGGTTCTATCCAGGCTGGCTTCACTTGAAACCATATGAAGGAGGGTTGAGTAGGATCCACTGGTCTCTGGAGCGCTGGTGTTCTGGTGTGTGGTAGAACAGAGGTGGTAAATCCCTTCCCAGTAGTTCCCTTGGATCCCTTCATGCCACTTGAGATCTCAAGGGAGCAGCTGCTATCCTTTCCGGGGGCAGCTTTCATGTATTTATGATTTTAAATTGCAATGTAGTTGGATGGAAATAATATTAGTTGTTAGTCAGAAATTATTACAGGTGATTATAAAAAGTCATCTTGTAAAAAATGGGATTGGATGTGCTATCTTGGAGTAGTTTGGGTAATGGGGTCCATTGTACAAATCATCAGACCTAAGAGTATTTCAAAAGTCAGTTCACACGGAGTGGTGTGGTGTGTCTGCAGCCCAGTTCAAAGGTGCATCTGTCCATGTGTCTGAACTCCATTTAACAGTCCTCCCTGCCCCGCTGCATTTTAAGTATCCTGAACCATTTGTACCCTATTTTGATCCTCAGCATCCCCTCTTATGCTCTCCTCCTTTGTGTAATCCAATATTTTTTGTTTGTTACTCATCTTTTTGTTGAATAGTGACACCTAGTGGCAGTTTTTTTCTGAGAAAGAAAGGATACGTGGTGATACAGGTTTTTAATATTATTTTTATACTTTCACACATGCTTTGTATTTTGATTGGATTTAGAACTTAGGGAAGAAATTTCTATATCCTCAATTTTTAAAAAATGTTTCCCTTTAAAAATGTTTTAGCTTCTAGTGATGTTATTGAGAAATCTGATACTTGAAGATGGCCCTGTGGTTAAGACTGCTTGCAGCTCTTTCAGAGGACCAGCATTCAGTTCCCAGCACACACTTTGGGCTGCTCACAAACTCCTGTAACTCCATTTCCAGGGGATCCAATACCCTTTTCTGGTTCCCATTGGTGTCTGCATACATTCAAGTGCCAATTCTTCCTGTTCCAGAAACACACACACACACACACACACACACACACACACACATACACACTCACCCACTAAAAACAACAACAAAAACCTAAACAAACAAAACACAAACAAACAAACAAACAAAACTTTAAGAAATCTGGAACTGTCCTGATCAGCAACCCTTTACATATGACCATGTTTGTCTTTCTGCCTTTTGAGTGCATTTTTTTAGGTTGTTTGAGATGGGGTTTCTCTGTGTAACAGCCCTGGCTGAACTCGATTTGTAGACCAGGCTGGCCTCAAACTCACAGAGACCAGTCTGCCTTTGTCTCCTGACATCTGGGATTAAAGGTGCGTGCCACCACTGTCTAGCCATTAACCACTATTTTGACCACACCACCACAGGCTGGTTTTAAATTTTTCCACATAATATATTTTGAACATGTTTCCCCCTTCACCAATTCTTCCTAGAGCTGATTATTTTATTTGCATGCGTGTGTGTGCAAAAAGGTGTGCATGTTCCCAATGAATGTTTGTAGGTCAGTGGATAACTTGTGGAAGCTGGTTTTATTCTACTCTGTGTGTTCCAGGTGTGGAACTCGGTGTCAGGGTTGGAAGTAACTGCCTTTAGCAGCTAAGCCATGTTACCGATCCCAGTGGTTAGTTTTAACTGTCAATTTGATACAATCCATAATAACTTTGGAAGTTTTAGTGAGGGATCTTTCTATATCAGGTTGGCCTGTTTAAACGTTGTGTTAGCTAGTTAACAGTTGTGGTCCCTGTCTTAGAGTTTCTATTGCTGTGACGAAACACCATTTGACCAAAAAGCAAGTTGGGGAGAAAAGGGTTTATTTAGCTTACACTTCCATTTTTATATTCATTATTGAAGGAAGTCAGGATAGGAACTCAATTAGGGCAGGATCCTGGAGCAGGAGCTAACGCAGAAGTCATGGAGGGGAGCTGCTTACTCGTTTGCTGTCCCTGGCTTGCTCAGCCTGTTTACTTATAGAACCTAGGACCACCAGCCCAGGGATGGCACCACTGACAATGGGCTGGGCCCTCTCCCATTGATCACTAATTGAGAAAATGTATTATAGCTGGATCTCATGGAGGCATTTCCTCAACTGAGGCGCCTTCCTCTCTGATGACTCTAGCTTGTGTCAAGTTGACACAGAGCTAGCTAATACAGTCCCTTTGCCTTCAGTAAGCGTTAGAGGATAAACAAACTTGGGTAGTAGGGCATATTCTAATTTTAGTAACTAAGAATTGGCATGGGAGGTAAGTAGGTAAGCAAAGATAGGCATAAGTATTAGATTTAGATCAACTTTGAAAATAAAAAAATAATTGATATGGTGGGCAATAAACTGGGAGGGGAAAGTCAAAATACTTAGGACCTACAGATTTTAGAGACTGTTAAAGCTAGGGATGGTGTAATCAAGAAATAAAAAGAGAGGTATAAGGCTGGGAGAAAAAGGAAGACAGGAGTAAGAGGAGAGTGTTATGAGGGGCAGGTGAAAAGTACAAGTAGAAAGTGACAATAAACGAGTGGGTAGAGAAATACACAGAACAGTCTAGAAACCATCAGATGTACAGGCAAGGGTAGGAATTAATAACAAGAAGTAAGAAATCAGAATAGTACTCTGTGGAATACATTTCTGGCACAGCTGTGCTGATTGGAAAAGTGAAGTTGTCACATCCCTCTGGCTCCAGCAGGCTGTCCATTTGGTGCTTGGTGAGAGACGCTTGAGTGGCAGCCCTCAGTCTTTGCAGCCTTCCTGCTCCCTGGTCCCTGTGTTTCTGGCCTGCAGAGGAGAGAGGCTGTAAATCCTTTCATTATGCTTCTGTAAGACCCCATGTAGATTGTTTTTAATGAGACAGGCCAAGGTTTCTGTGTTACCTATCAAACAGAATTATTGTGAAGGAAAATTGCTTTTGATAATAACAGATTACTTAGAACATGAAGAATTATGCATTGTTTACTTTGAAATTTGTAATCCATACCCTTCAATGTTGTCTGTTTTGCCAGATACTGATAGTATGAAGCCACTGGAGGGTGTGAGAATTCTGGATCTAACAAGGTTTGTGTTGGATTATCTTCAGTTTAGTGATTGAGTCCCTCCCCTTTTTTGAAAAGGCTATAAAGAGATATTTAAATGCTTACTTTGAAATTTTGGTGAATAAACAGAAAAGAAATTCTGGACTGTCATTATTTTCAAAGACAGTAAGTGTAGTATTCATGAATTTTTCCAGTATACATATTTGTGGATAATTAACTTTTCCTCCAAATTGGAACTATATAGAAGTTATGTTTTTACCTATATTTTAAATGTACCAATATATTTTGAATAGTTTTCTGTGCTCACTAAGTTAATGAAAGATGACATTAATAAATGTCACCCAGTTGCCTGAATAAGGTTTTTATATGCAAATCTTTGCTTTTGTTTTAATTTCTTCTTCAGGATAAAATTCTAGAAATAAAGTTCCTGCATCAGAGTGATTATAATTTTTAAAGCTCCTGATAAATACTAAAAATTACAATTTTAGCAAGTTTGATCATTGTTAGCGTTATATGAGTTTCTCTGTGTTAATTGACTTAAAATAGTTAATACATAGATTTTCAAAATGGTCATTTATCTATTACTCTTTGACATTATAGAGTACTGGCAGGACCTTTTGCCACGATGAATTTAGGCGACCTTGGAGCAGAAGTTATAAAGGTGGAAAGACCAGGTAAATCTATTTACCTTCAAGAAGTAGAGTCAGACTAGTACATGTTCTTGGTAGTTCTTTAAATAATCCAGGATTAGTGTACCCATAAACTGAGTGAGAAAATAATGGAAATGAGGCATTTTCTCCACTCCCCATCTTTCTCTGTATCTATATTAATTATCTTGTACTTATATGTATCAAGAACAGGCTCAAGCCAGTTTCCTCTCATATACTGGAAAGTTCTGTTACGATAGGTAATTACAGTGCTGATAGCTGCACCAAGTGCTGGCCAAAGCTCTAAGCCCTCCACTGACGTTTGTTTAATCTTTGCAACAACTCTATATGCTGATGAACTCGTCCTAATGTAACAGTGAGAAAACAAAGGCACCAAGAAGTAAGGTGTTTTGTTCAAGCTCACACGTTTAATAAAGAATGTACAAGTACTCAGTTCTGATCCTGATGCTACTAAGCCCCTAGGAGTGGTCCCATGGGTTAGTGTGACTATACTCCCTGACTTGGGGCTAAAGGGCAAAGGAACAGAAAAAGAAGGAAATAGAATACAGATAGAGAGAAAGAAAAAGAATCAAAGTTCTTCAACAGGAGACCCAAAAACCCAACCTATGTCATTATTTTCAAATAAAAGAAATATTTTGCCATTTTACTATCATAAAAGTTTGAGGGAAAAAGCGAATTTTAGATAAATTCTTTGGAAGTTTTTACTTTTAAAAAAACATTTATTTATTTATTTATTCATTCATTCATTCATTCATTCATTCATTCATTTATTTATTTATTTATTTATTTATTTATTTATTTATTTATTTATTTATTTATTTATTTATTTATTTATTTATTTATAGTAGCATCTCTTTACCTAACCCAGATTGGCCTGGAGCCTTAAAGCCTCAGACTCCAGTGCTAGAATGTAACATCTTTCCAGCTCATTCTTTCTCCTTTTCATACAAAGCAAACATCCTCTGTGCATACATTTCTCACTTTATTTGGTGCCTTTTTAGTATTTTGGCAAACTGTTGGTTCATGCTATTATTGATAAAATGCTCAGGAAAGTGTCAATGTAGCATGCCCCTGTTCTCTAACAAGTATTTATGCATAATCCCCATTCTTCTTGTCCTCTACACTATTCTTTAGCTTGTTTATTTTGGAGTTTTCCAAAATTATCGTTATTATTCTGTGTGGTGGTGCTCCCTGTAATCCCAGCACTGGAGAGGTGGAAGCAAAAGGATCAGTAGTTCAAGGTCATTCTTTACCACCTAAGGAGTTCTAGGCCAGCATGTGCTAAATAATAACATGTCTCAAAAACAATGAAACTATGTTATCATTTGTTTTCAAAGATTTGATCCTTAACGACCTGGGGCAGAATTCTCAAATCAATGAGAATGGCCCAGTCTAGTTCCATAGTAGCTATTTATCCACAAGACTCAAAAGGTAATAGTTTATAATAGTATGAACTTATTAATTTACAATAAGTGATAAGCCCTTCAAAGTAGAATACCTGGGAGACTCAATTTCCTGCTAAATCGATTTTCCTAAGAGCCTAAAGCAGTTAGCAGAAAATTCTCATCAGCACCAAGGTGAATGTCCTTGCATTGGTTGAGCCTGGGCTTGTCAATCTTGACCGGCAGAAGTGCTTATCAAGTGCTGCTTTCCAGAGGCAACACCACACCCACCAGTCAGTGATATCCTCCACTTTTTGTCTTTGCTGGATATGCTGGAGAATGCTGAACTTCCCACTTCCCACCTCCCACTCCAGATTCTGTGAAGTTCAAGCTTCCTTATTCCAGTCCTGTTTCAGTGCCATACCTCCTCCTCTTCTTACTCTTTTCTTTTTTTTGAGACAGGATTTCCCTGTGTAATATCCCTGCCTGTCCTGAAACTTGCTTTGTAGACCAAACTGGCCTCGAGCTCACCGAGATCTGCCTGCCTCTGCCTCCCGAGTGCTGGGATTAAAGGCGTGTGCCACCACCACCTGGTTTACAGAAATATTTTATAGATTATTAGTCATTCTTATATACTCAGCCCTTTATGCTACTTTAGCATATATACTCACATTATTATTCAGATTTAAATAATATGTAACACACATCTTTTGTTTACTCCATACTTTCATTTCATACTCAATGTTAAGAAATAGTGAAGAAACTAATCAACATGCTTGACAAAAACTGATAAATGCCCCCCTAAGTTGGCTGTTTATCAACTCTAAAGACCACTAACAAGATACTTCCTTCTGGATTTTGACCTTCAATACTACAAGTTAGTGAAAGTGAATATGGAATGATTTAGTAGTTGGCATTAAAAAGTGGAGATCTGGGAAGTTCTGTTGAGCTATAGAAGTCCCAAGGGGTAAGGATTCCTTAGGATGAGTTGACCTTGTTCAGGTACCGAGAGTATGCCCAGGAGCGAGCCTGTTGATTTGCAATTAACAGCTCATATTATCATTTACAGGAGCTGGTGATGACACACGAACTTGGGGACCTCCTTTTGTGGACACAGAAAGTACATATTTTCTCAGTGTTAATCGAAATAAAAAAGTAAGACTATTTCCTGTTTTTTGCTTTATTTGTGTAATTCTCTTGGCAGTTACAAAACTTTTGATATCATGGCTCGCTTTGATACTTAACTAATATTTCAGATACTCATGATCACATCCAAGCAATAGAGTTTGTATTACTCTTCCTCCTCTACTAAATAACTTAAGAAATTATGAGAATTCTTAATTGAAATATTCTGTGAAAGACAATTTGATTCTTTACATTTATTGCTTCTCTATTGGTATTACACAGCATTACCACTCAAAAGTATTTACTGTGATCCTTACTGTTGATTGTAAATGAAGTCAATAAAGATGACTTAAGTATTTGTTCATACGGAAACTAAGCTTGCATGACAATTAGGGTATTTGGCCATCCTATCACCAGAGTAGGTCAGTTCGGGCTGTCTCTCGACCATTGTCAGTAGTTTGTTGTGGAGGTATCTTTGTGGATTTCTGTGGGCCTCTCTAGCACTTTGCTTCTTCCTATTCTCATGTGGTCTTCATTTATCATGGTCTTTATTTCTTGTTCTCCCTCTCTGCTTTTGATCCATCTGGGATCTCCCACTCACCTAAGCTCTCTTTCCCTCGACCCTTGCCCTTCATTACCCTCACTCATGTCCAGGTTGTTCATGTAGATCTCATCCATTTCTCTATCATTGGGCGATTCCTGTGTCTTTCTTGGGGTCCTGTTTTCTAGGTAGCCACCCTGAAGTTGTGAGTAGCAGTCTAGTCATCTTTGTTTTACATCTGGTATCCTCCTATGAGTGAGTACATACCATGTTTGTCTTTCTGAGTCTGGGTTACCTCACTCAGGATGATTTTTGGTTTTTCTGCAACATTGGGGCATAATCTTCAGCCTATAGGCTTAGTGTATGGCCAAACACCCTAATTGTCATGCTAGAAACCTCATCCAATGACTGAGGGAACTGGATGCAGAGATCCATGGCCAGCCCTAGGTGGAGCTCCAGGAGTCCAATTGGCGAGAAAGAGGAGGGTTTGTATGAGCGAGAATTGTTGAGACCAAGATTGGAAAAAGCACAGGGACAAATAGCCAAACGAATGGAAACACATGAACTATGAACCAATAGCTGAGGAGCCCCCAACTGAATCAGGCCTTAACCTCTGGATAAGTGAGACAGTTGATTAGCTTGATCTGTTTGGGAGGCATCCAGGCAGTGGGACCAGGACCTGTCCTCAGTGCATGAGCTGGCTGTTTAGAACCTGGAGCTTATACAGGGACGTTTGGCTCAGCCTGGGAGGAGGGGACAGGACCTGCCTGGACTGAATCTACCAGGTTGAACTCAATCCCCAGGGTAGTCTTTGCCCTGGAGGAGATGGGAATGGGGGTGGGCTGGGGGGAGGAGGGGGGGGAGGGCGGGAGGGGGGAGAACAAGGGAATCCATGGCTGATATGTAAAATTAAATTATAAAATAAAATTAAAAAAAGAAAAAAAAAGAAACTAAGCTTGCTTTACAGTGAGAATTTGTGTGGTATGAATGAATGGCTCTGCTGTTGAACTGCCAATGATGATGAGACCGTTTATGAAAACATTTAATGTCTACATTAAATGTCTACATTTTGATTTTTAGAGTATAGCTGTTAATATCAAGGATCCGAGAGGGGTGAGAATCGTCAAAGAGGTACAGTATGTGCTATGGTATCTTAGTGCTTGGGTTCTTATTAGGGATTTGGATATCTGGGAAAAGGTCTTAAAACTGTTTTATTGCCAACCTGTAAGTTATGGCTTTAAGTCCTGTTTAATAATTTGTGTGTACGTGGCTTGTTTCTCACTGGCATTTTGGATTAAAAAAAAAATATCTTATGTATACAGTGTTCTACCAGCATGTATGCATGCCAGAAGAGGGCACCAGATCTCATTATAGATGGTTGTGAGCCACCATGTGGTCACTGGGAGTTGAACTCAGGTCCTCTGGAAGAGCAGCTAGCACTCTTAACCTCTGAACCATCTCTCCAGTCCCCGTGTTTTGGATTTTTAAATTTTAATTAATATAATTACAACATCACCCCTTCTTTCAACCCTTCTCATGTCCCCCCCCACCTCCTCTCAAATTCATGACCTGTTTTTCTTTAATTATTACTGTTACACACGTACATATGTTAATAAATATATAAAGGCAACCCACTGAATTCATTAAGTGTTGCTTGTATGTTTATGAGTTGACATTTTTTTAGTAAGCATAGTGCTCTCAATAATTTCTTATTTGTTGCACGTAATTAAAGTCCTCATATTATAGGTTGGGTTCTTTTGGCACCAGATTCTGGACTTGAGTACTATACTTACACTTTCCCCTCAAAGCCTCACAAATTTTTGTGTAAATGAAATATTAGAATTTTTATTTTTGGGCCAGTGAGATGGCTCAGGTGGTAAAGGTGCTTCCTGCCAAGAGGATCTGAGTTCAATCCTAGAACCTACATGATGGAAAGAGAGAACCAATTCCCATAAATTGTACCCTGACTTCCACATGCATGTTTGGCATGTGCATGATCATACACATACAAACAAACAAATAGTTTTGGTTTGAGGTTTTGAGACAGGGTTTCTCTGTGTAATCCTGACTGTCCTGGAATTCTCTCTGCAGATCAGGTAACCTTGAACTCAGAGATACCCTGTCTCTGCTTCCTGAGTGCTGGGATTAAAGGTGTGCACTACTTGTAACTAAATAAATGTGTTTTTTTTTTTCCGTTTGTTTTTAAAAAAGAATCCTCATTGCTATGGAAGGTGATTGAGTGGCATGGGATATAAATGATATCCTAAAGATGACATAATTAATGTTAAATTTGGCCTAAAGCTATCATATTTGTAGTAATTCGCAACTTAATTTATCAAATAAACTATTTTTAGCTATATTACTTCGATAAACAATGAACTCTCAATCACAACAACAAAACTTCAGCCAGTCTTAGGCTGCCAACTGATAAGATGGTCATTTTTGGATGTGATTTCTTTTTGTTTGTAAGTGTTGGCTACCCACATTGCTGTGTGGAGTTCCTTGGATCTCTCCTGCTTCTCAACATTGCCTGATACATGCATTATTCTTTTTAGAAATAAACTCTATTAAATTTAATATTTACTTTAATAAAGTTTTTTGGCTTTTAATAAAAATAAGGGGGAAAGCTGACATTTGAACATGGGATCACAACCCTCAGAAACCACACGTTCACTGGCATGTTTTTCCAGATGTTCAACATTTCGAGATCTGATCTTAGCATGTTTTTCTTTTGGGTTAGTATTGCACAGTGGTTAAGGATATGGGTCTTGACATGAGATTTGAACTCTACCTCTTTTCCTTGCAAGCTATGTAAATTTAGGTAGATGATTTCCTTGTGCCTCAATGTTCTCATCACTAAAGTAGGATTAGTACTGTAACTTCTTCCCATGGTGCTTAGAATTAAGCTAATATGTTTTAAAGGCTCAGAAGAGCTCTTGCTGTATATCACCCACAATTATTTTCAGTTATTTCCTGATGTGAATGTGGTTGCCTGCATCATGTGAGATAAATTTTATTTGTTCATTATCACTAAGATTTTTCAATTCACTTTAATGGATTTATATCCATTTGGTTAGGGAACCAAGTTTCAGCCAAGTTTAATTCTTTTAAAGTCAAAGAATCAACTTTAGCTTTATTGCTATAAAACTCTAAGGGCCACTTCTGTGATTCACCTGTGGAAGCTTGCCAAAGCCCCAAACAGCATTACTCTCTGCCATTGACACCTCTAATACAGTTGAGCCTGCTAGATCTTGTGATCCAAGTGGCACAACAGTCCATATAGCAGCCTGGACCTGTTGAAAAGCCTTCTTCTGGTCTAGACTCTACTGAAAACCAACAGCTTTCCAACTAACTCATTTGCTGTATGGGTTAGAGTAACACAATCAAGTGAGAAATGTACTAGCTTCAAAACCCAAGTAGGCCTGCCAAGCCTTGTGCTTCTTTCTTGGTGGTAGAAGGGGAAAGGTGCAACTACTTATTCTTCACCTTAGAAAGGATAGCTCAGTGAGTCTTATAGCACTGAATTCCTAGACATTTTACTGAGCTAGAAGGCTCTTGAATTTTGATTGTACTTGTTTATCATCTTCTCTTGTGCATATTCTTTACCAACAAGTCCAGAGTAGTTGCTTTTTCCTGTTTGCTTTATCAGATCATCATGATGCCATGTATAATGGACCAGTATAATACCTTGTAGCAGAAGCAAGCAATCAAGATCCATTCAAACTAAGTTATGACATAAGGATAGATAATTAATTGATTCTTGAAATAGAACTATAAAGGTGTACTGCTGGCCTTTCCAGGTGAAATCGTATTACTCCTGGAAGTCTTTATGGACACGAATGATGAGAAAAGTGTTTGTATGATCAATAGCTGCATCCATGGTATAGGAGATAGGTAACTCTGCTCAAGCAAGGATACCACACCTTGGTCCAGCAGCTGTTTGGAGTCAGTGCTTGATTAAATTTGCAATAATCAACTGTCATTCTTCATGATAAATCCATCTTCTGTACAGGTTTAATAGGAGAGGTAAAGGGATATATAGTGGGAACTACCACCCTTGCATCTCTTAAGACCCTGATGGAGTAATCATTTTCAGGGATGTGAAAATGTTTTTGATTCACATTTTTTTCTTGGTATAGGCAGGTTAATGGCTTCTCTTTAGCCTTTCCAACCATAATGTCCCTCACTCTACAGATCAGGGAATGGATGTGAAGATTCTTCTGACTTCTAAGTATATCTATTCCAATTTGCATTCTGGGAATGGGAAAATATGCCCAGGGTGAGTTCAGGAACCTACTGGGCTGCTATGATTCAGAATTTGGCTAAAACTTCCTCGATCACCTGACCTTCATAAAGCCCCTACTTCAACTGGAGGGCTACAGTAATGTTGGGGTCTCCAAGAATTAATTCAGAGCTAGTGTCTAGTAGGCCCTGAATGATCTGATTATTTTATTTTCTCCAGTGTACAGTTACCCTAGCAGAAAGTCGTAAGTTCCTTTGGGGTAAGGATGGGAGAGTCATTAGTATTTTTTTTTTTTTTTTTTGGAGTTGGAGCTGGGTCCTTCTTCAAGTAGAATCAGCCTGTACTTTATTTGAGGAGTTTTGTTTCTAAACTGATTCAAGCCTGGAAATTGGTTGAAGGACCATGGTTCTTTGTTTTTGTGATCCAAGGTAGCTTTGGTTCACTTGTTCAGAAATTTTTCTGCTTTTACAAATTGAATGAGAATTTAGTAGACTTCCTATTTACTTCACTTCTAGGAACACCATGATTATTAATAACTAACTAGCTAGTGCCAAAAATCTATACAAGTCAGGCCATTGTGAACATGGCTTTGCCTTTAATGCTCATTACATTAAAAATGTTTACCTTGCCGGGCGGTGGTGGCGCAGCCGGGCGGTGGTGGCGCACGCCTTTAATCCCAGCACTCGGGAGGCAGAGCCAGGCGGATCTCTGTGAGTTCGAGGCCAGCCTGGGCTACCAAGTGAGTTCCAGGAAAAGGCGCAAAGCTACACAGAGAAACCCTGTCTCGGAAAAAAAAAAAAAAAAAAAAAATGTTTACCTTACCTTTGTTGACTCAGTGCTGCTATTTGGCCTTTGCTACTTGAGGATCTAATTAATCCCATTTCAGTTTAAATTATACTGTCATGCAGCTGTGGCTCCCACTGTAACGCTGGGCACCCAGGGAAGAACAGTGATAGAGTTCTTCAAGTGTGCTGGTGTCCCTCTTACAAAGCTGCTACTATGGTGCTATGGAGAGCATATTTTCTTGACCCTATGGAGCTATAAATTTCTTTTCTAAGACTTTCATGTGCTGTATTTTCATTTTTGTTCATGATTTCTTGTGTTGTTTAATTTACATTAGTTTTTCTATGTGCTGGGATTTCTTTTGCGGTTGATCTGTAGCAGTAGTCCTCAACTTGTGGGTTGTGACCTGTCTGGGGGTCACATATCAGATATCCTGCATAAACAAATGTTTACATTACAATTCATAACAGTAGCAAAATTACAGTTATGAAGCAGAAATGAATCAATTTTATGGTTGGGGTCACCACAACATGAGGAACTGTATTAAAGGGTCGCAGCATTAGGAAGATTAGGAACCACTCATCAGTAATGTTATTTCATTATATTAGAAAGACTACAAGTAGTTATTTCACTGTATTTGTTAAAATTTTCTTTGTATCTTAACATATGACCTATTTTAGAGAAAGTTCCATGGGCTTCTGAGAAAAACAAAATGTGTAATGTGCAGTGTTTGGATAGAATGCTCTGTAGATGTCTATTAAGATACTTGATGTATGGCAAGTTAGTCAGGGTTCTCTAGAACTTGTAGAATGAACCTGTCATTATCTATCTATCTATCTATCTCTCTATCTATCTCTCTATCTATCTCTCTATCTTCTATCATCTATCAATCAATCATCTATCTATATCTACTGATCATCTCTATCAATCATTTTTCATATCTATATCTATCTTCTATTATATCTATCATCTATTATATCTATTTTCTATCATATCTATCTGTCTGTCTATGCATCTATATGGGATTTATTAGAGTATCTTAAAGGAAGTGGTTCTGCTAGTCCAACAATTGTTGTCTTGTGACAGTTCAAGAATCCAATAGTTG